TGTAAATTTTAAAGAAAACTGTGCTGGCCGAAAAGGAACAGTGATCGAAAAGTAAACGGTAAGTTTTGGCCGAAAAGCGAAGGGTATATTTTGGCCGAAAAGGGGGCCGCCCTGCAGTAGGTTAGGTATAATTTGGGGCCGGTAATAAGCAGTGCGGGGGCCTTTTTATATGTTAAATGGTAATAAAACTATAAAACTAATAATATAATATTATTAATAATATTTAACTGCTGTGATAACCGTGCCTACCTATAGCCAAAACTATATAATATGGTATGATTGGTATGTAACGTTTATAGATATAAAAGACTGAGGAATAGAATATTATTATCACTTCTATTTATGTATATTACATTTATTTTAATGTAAACAAATATAATTTGATAATTTTCTATATCTCTAAAAGGTAAGATTACATATTACATTACGAATTTACGACGCCCGGCACTAGTGTGTTTTATTTATTTATGCTATTTAATAGAAATTTTATAGAAATTATCAATTAAATGTGATGTTTTTTTTTCATAAACTTTTCGTGTCAGCATCTGTTAAAATATGGTAACATTGGTTATAAATTAACTTTATTTTAATAGCGCCGTACCAACAAAAACCTCTAACCACCCCACCCTTATATACCTACGCCACAGAGTGAGCAAAAAATRATTCAGTTCTAACATCTCCATAGCACAGGCTGTGAGCTGAGAGCAGGGGCCTGTTAAAAAACTATTTCCAGAGCCGTTTGTTTGAGCTAGCCCAACCCTGGGATCTCTAAGAGAGACCTATATAAACATAATCAAAATATTAATGACCCACAAATAAGGATATTTTAGATAAAAAAAAAATATATTTATTTATGATACTTTGTAATGATGTGTACCTAATCCATCATGTATTTTTTAAATTTGTATATTAATGTATTATAAAATAATTGTAATAATAGATAAACATTAAGGATAAGATTAAGTTACAAAATATATAATAGGGYAAAAGAACGATAAGATATTAGTGATATTACACACCCATACACGATACACACACAACATTAGATAAAAGGAACACTCTGTTTTTTAGTYACGTGGACACACGTTTATTACTGTCTCAGTGTTTTTTTGTATTGACGTTAAAAGCTGAGTGTAACAGACTGTCCAGATTCCAGATCGTCTATGCAGAAAGACGTTATCATGAAAGTTAATGTTTGTCATAATAAATTAAAATATGTATATGTTGTTGTATGACGTTTAAAAAATTAAATTAAATTAATTACAGTGAACCAGAAAAATCTTTTTATTTTAAAATACAAACCGGTCACCTCATCCTATAATTCTGACGTTAACCACGATTTCAATTGGGAAGTCGCTACACGGATGGAAGGGTAATAGCCAATAGGTATTATTTATAATTGAGTAATTGACTTGGAGACACATAACCGTGTTTCGGTTATTTTTTGGTATTTTAATCGATTACAACATTTTGTARATAGGTATAAAAATTAAAATTGTATTCGTATATTTTTTTTCTCATTTTTGGGACTGGTCAGTGGTCGCCGCTTTAATCCGAACTTGAATTGACAATAAATACCTAGGTACATTTTTTATTGTACACAATTTAAAATACACATCCTAAGAAAGAAAAAGATTGATTTTTTAGAAAATATTAAACTTGCATGATATGTGTATGAAAATCAAGATATATGCATTTTTCCCCTAAAATTGACGAAATATTCTAAATATACATTTTAAATTGTTGAGTTTTATTAAAACTCAACATTGTACAGCTTCTGATTTCTAATTGGGCCTGCTATAAATCGAGTGGATACAGAATAATATGCATCTTCTACAACTTCCGAGCCCTAATTATTACTTATATTTATTCGTAGGTAATGTATAATTATTATTTATTATATTACCAATGCAACGCACGGTTCTAGTGACATATTGTCGACGACCAAGATGTTTAAATGCAAAAGTTTGATGTGTGGCAAACATCGGTATGTTAAATTTGCGTTGAATATCTTTAGAGAAACCAATCCTAAAAATGTATTAAAGACAAGTTATTATAAAGTTTGAAGTGTTTRAACTGTACAAAATACTTTTTGAATGTATTTAAAATAGGTARGTGCTTACTGCTTACATATTTGTATGAAAAAGTAAATCTATGTATCCACTTTTGAAATATTTGAAATACTATTGAACATCGTGTATCTAATATTATAACATAGTAAATATGATACCTCTCCAGTAGGTACCAGAATTCGTTTTTAGGTGGTTATAGGTACTTATTTAGTTGTTTTTGGAATATGATTAATAAATTATGAATAAGTTAACTATTATAATTTAATATGACAGTAAACTTGTGTTGTTGATGTGCTTATTTTTATTTCATTTAAAGAAGTCTGTCGGTAATCAAATTAGTGAAATAGATAGGTAATATTATATTGGCGTTCGGATGAACATAAATATGGAAAKAATAAGGATTTCCCATGTAATAGCTAGACACGTCTAGTTTTGTTCAGTCCATTTAAGGCTAATTCCTTATTAAGAATAGGTAACCGGCAGTGGACATATCCTATATAGTATATACACTATACAGCCACTTAATCTTATCTATCCACTTTTTTCTAAGAGCATCCCAGTCTCTGCTCAAAGAGTAGGTGACATAAGCCCACGACTAAGGAGGAACTTAAGTAGGGATGGCATTTTCAAAGCAATGATAATGTTATTATTTTAAGAGTGGCAAATTTTGATTTTTGTTGTCCTGTTTGTTTACTTAAGACTGTTAGGGATGTGATCGTACAATGTACACAATAATATGCTCAAATSCTCAACTCCAACCTTGCTCAAAAGTTGTCATATAATTATTAATATATGCGTATACCTTTGAGATTAGACACCGGCAATCCGGACATAATGTCGTCATCAAGGCAGAGGCAGTTGTCGATCCACAGACGTCTTAAACCGATTAGGTTTTCAAACAGCAGTTGCAGGCCACCGGCTGTTAGGGTGTTGCCGTTCCGGATACGTAAACTGGACAATAGTTTTCCGGTACGCAGCACAAACAGGTCCATCGAACAGTCCAACGACGTTAGCGATTCGTATGCGCATTCCGGTATCGCAAACTTCTCAAGTAYYACGTCGAACCTGACATCCATCGAAGTCGCGACCACTCGGTTAACGGCCAACGTCCTGATGCGCTTCATGTTACGCAACGATTCCGCGAACTTCCGCACACATTCCACATCGTTGTGACCAATTGTCAGGTTCAACGTCAAGTGCCGGAGATCGTGCAGCMTGGACACAGCGCCGAGCAGACGTGCCGGRAGATAATTGATCTCCAACCACTGTAGCGACACCTGCGTGATTGATTTTAATAATAATATATGTTGTATACGGCGTATTCCTACATCAAAGTGTAATAAATATAATATATTATTAAAATGTAAATATACTTCATAATTTTTTTATTCTTTKAAACGTTTTATAAGATGTTATAAATTGTTATTTAACATTATATAGACCTTAACTCTGCTCTTTATAATTGATTGTCAAGTGTTATTTTTCAACATTTTTAAAAATTATTTTACAAGCGATACTTATTAG